TGGTGATCGAGTTCTCCTCTATAACTCTCGCCTGAAACTCTTTCCTGGAAAGCTCCGCTCCCGATGGTCTGGACCGTTCACGGTCACACAGGTGTTCCCGTATGGCAGGATTGAAATTTCCAACCCGCAAACTGAGCCATTTAAATTGAATGGCCATCGTCTCACCGCCATTTATCACCTGCGCAGAGCTGATGTGGGAGTTCTACACTACATTCCGGTACCACTCCAAAGCGACCCGGGACTCCCCCACCGGTGTCAACTTCAGGCTGGGTGGGCACCTACGGGAGATGAGCATCGATGGGCTGGCCTACGCACTGGGGATGCACTACCACCCCTACTCCCTCCATGAGGTCGAGATCCCCCATCAAAATTACTGGAACCAGGATGCGTTCTACCACCGCATAGCTCGGCGTGCTTACGGGATGGACTACTTCGATGTCGGCCAAACATACGTCTCCACCCTCAAGCCACAGTGGCACATCCTCAACCTCCTGATCACCCGCTCGATAGTTCCCAACGCCACTGGTTCCCACAAGATCCCGAAGCAGGTGCTCTACACCATGTATTCGATGGGGGACCCGAATCACATGCTACATTTGGGATCTTTCGTGGCCACCACCTTCTCTCGGTGCCACGGGAAACCCAACCACCTCTTTTGTGGTCCCTTTATCACCAGAATGGCACGCCATTTCGAGATCGACTTGGCGGTACTCACGGATGCCACAGCACGGGGTGGCTCCACCCCTCTCAGCCGGGAGGTGCTTCACAACGCGCTCCTGCTGGCCTCTGATGGAGCGCGTTCCTGGGTGGATGGGTTGTCCCTGCCTCCCGAGGAGGATGCAGATGATGATGACGAGGACGACGAGGACGAGGACTACACCGGCGAGGATGAGACCGATGATGATGATGATGGCAGTGCCATGGATGCTGATGAGTCGGAGCCCCTTCTCTCCCCTAGGGGATCTTCAGCCACGACGGAGATCCGAGCGAGGCGAGTCCTCCTCCGTTCCTTCTGCTCCATCGATGGCTTCTAGTTCGTCGATGGACTTCTTCACGGAGCAGTTCCATCAGATAGGGCTCTAGTTTCAGCAGCTCGGGGTCCAGAACCAGCAGCTCATGGACCATCAGGTCTAGTTTTACCAGCAGTATTCGGCCCACTAGGCCGAGTACCACTCTCGGATGGCTGTTCTGGACGAGCGCCTCGACCGGATGGTGGCTCAGCAAGGAGTCACCAGTGCTTGCATCGAGCGGGAGCGGGATCGTAACCACCGGATGATGGAGTATCAGGAGCACCTCCTCCAGTCCTGCCACCGGCCACAGGAGCACCACTGGACTACCCGGTGGGACCACTCACCACCCCCGCCACCACCGACAGATGGGGTTGACGACATCATGGATCGACTTCAGCGAGCTCGAGTAGGCTGTACTCGTTGGTCGCTTTGTATTTCTTTTGTTTTGATTCGGAGTGCAAACTGGCTTTTGTTTGGTTTGTTTTCTTTTCTTTTGGATGATGTACTATGGGGCTGACATTTGACCTAAAGTATCTGTGCTTGAGTGCTTGTGTCTTCTTTAGCCTTGCCTTTGCACTGACTGGTCCCATTCCAGTCTGTTTCACTCTGACTGGTCCACCTTCCAGTCTCATTGCGGTCTGCGCCTACCGGTAACATAGATCCCTTTATCCTTCCCTCTTCTCCATTGAGGGCAATGTCGAACTTAAGTGTGGGGGGATGTTTCTATTTGACAGCTTAGATCTGTTTGTGTGCTTGAAGTCTAGTCCACTGTCCAAATTTCGACTTGAGAGCTCCAAGTACGTGTTCCTTGCAAATTGTCTGCTCAGTATGCTTTGAATTGACAGTCTTTATGGTCATATGCAACCTAAGGAGGTAGTGTAGCACTATGGAGGATATTGAAGTATAAGATATTTCCCATCTATCTCTCTGCTGTGCTGGTTGATTTTGTGAATTAGTGGAGTTAAGACCGTTGAATTCCTGTGATATTGGTGACTCCTTTGGAATTGTGTTGTGGACTCGTGTATGGAACATGGTGCTCATGTGGGAAATGAAAAGCAGTTGGTCCTCCATGCTCGACTAATAAGGGTAGACCGTACAAAAGATTGCAGTTGGAACCCCTGCCAAGTGAATGAAAAAAAAAATGTAAAATGAAAGTGAAAAAAGGGTTCCAACGGTGAAATGAAGTGAAAGAGCACCCCCGTACAATGAGTCCTTGGTTGCGAAAGGTGTGAGTCCCTTTACCCATGAACTGGCTGTCTTACTTCTACTGCTTCTCATGATCCCGGCCTGAGTCTAGCACTCGCATTGAGAGAGATAGGGGACGTCTTAGAAGACCAGTTGACCTCGTAAGCTACTATATGATCTAGGAAATCCTCTACAGACGATCGGGGTTGTTTGTTTCTATGGAGCTCTGGAGAGCTGCATTTGTTTGAGTTATGTTTGCTTGGGGACACGTTAAGTGTGGGGGCATTTGATAGACCATTAATTGCACATGTTTATACCTCCATTCTTGAGTCGTTTGAAAGTCGATTCTCGTGTTTTAAGCCGATTTCAAGCTAGGTTGTGTGTTTATGTCATATTTCAGGACTTGGCGTTGACGTGAAGGCGAGGAAAAGAGTTTCGGGTAAAAAAGAAGGATACTGGAGTGAAGGGCGCTAGAAGAGCAAAATACCCGGCCAGGAGTTAAAAATACCTGGTCGGGTAAAATTCTAAGGGAGGCCGGTGATTCGTGTTTTTGGACGTCAAGAAGGCAGAAGGGGTCCCGGCCAGAGAGCAAAAATACCCGATCAGGTATTCTGGACCTCGACCGGGTATTAATCCCCTATGCGCTGCTATGCGTTTTGTAATCCCCGGCCGGACACCTAAAATACCCGACCGGGTATTATGGCCGGGGATCGTGATCTGCTGATTCTTAAAGAAAAGAAGGCCAACTTTTGAAGGGTTCCGAGTTTTAGTGAGACAAAGCTGATACCTAGAGAGAGAGACTAACGAACCAGATTCTCCAAGCGCCCTAGATCGATCTTCATCACCATTGGAGCCCGACGTGAGTTTGGAGAAGTGTCGATTGATTGCCAGAAGCAGAATCCCATCCTTCACAATATGGTTTCCGCATCTGAGCTAGATTTCCCTTCTCTCTCTAAGGATTAAACTTTCCTATTCACCTGGGTATGAAGAACCCTAGATTTGTATGTTAGGTCTCATTGTATGAACCCAAGTACGAATTCATTGATGTGATTATTTTCAATTGAGGTTTGATTTCTTGAATGTTATGCATCCTGATCAAATTCCTGTTATTACTATTTTGACATAGAAAGAGAATATCTGCTTAGGTTGATAGAGCACCCTTGATTGAAGGTAGTGAATTGACGACTTTAGTCGCTGAGTCAATTCACTATTATGTGCCGAATTTACATCGGTAGAGGAGTTTTGTTCGTTAGGGCCTCAATCTGTTTACTCCGGTGGAGGTTAGTCGCCCGCTGGGGACTCAGATTGAGAGGGTTTGGAGACCTTTAGTCGAGACTGCAGACTGTTTAAGAACCTCCCACAGTATAACTATCATCGAACTTGAACTTGGTGAATTACAACCTGGCTTAACTGCAGTCTAGGGGGACCATATCTGGGTGACCTCTCTTAACTTTGAACACAACTTCTACTGCTTTTGCTTGCTAGGTTAACTAAACCTTCACTACACTTGAACCACTAAATAATAAGATTTTCACGGAGTAGTCATCACACCTAGGACCCGGGTTGACATTTAGAGCTGAACTCGCTATACTATACATTAGTAGGTGGTTACACTTTGCCACTTTCTAGTGTGACGGTAGAGGCGTGTCAAGTCGGGCTTCACATGTGAGGTCAGTGGCGGATACATGGTGCGGACACCCCTAAATTTTGGGAACACGATAATCCAACCCCCGGTAGTAGTTTCGTATGGATAAACAAAATATAATTGATAATCTGGGACACCCCTAAAATTTTAATAAACGATTATCTTACCCTCGATAGTAGTTGCGTATGATTAAAAAATATAAGTTGTACTCTGTTTAATTCAAATCTAGGAAACTCCTATTATTAAACATCTTCTCCATTAGGTTATAACTCATTTTGTTCTATTTTAAACACTATGTAATGGTGAAAAAACGTAATTTCTTATCCCCAGGGGTACCCCTATTTTGAATTGATTTTATGGTTACACAGCAAGTGTTGAAATAGTCTTTTCTACTTTGAATTACATCATAAACATGGTTAGAAATTGAATATGCGATCTAGTAGGACATACCGATTTGTTGAGCAGTGTAGACATCAAATCTATCTGATATTTTTTTCCGAAATATGAAAACACATCGTGGCTTTTTGTAAACATGTGTACTAATTGGATATTTTATTATTTATGTATTATTTAATTATTAATTTAATTTAATTTTTGGAAGGGGACACCCCTACAATAAATTTCTGGATCCGCCGCTGTGTGAGGTGATGGGATTTGTTGACGGAAGCGGCTGTTAATCGAAACGAAAATGGAAAATAATCGACACGGAGCTTAAGTGGTTTCCTCGTTCAAAGAGAACGAAACTAGTCCACAACCAAAGCAGTAATCGTCTTATTCAGATACTATTACAGAGTACATAAGTAGGTTTATATAGTTCTCCTATAATAACCCTAGTCGAGTTCTCTAAGGGAAAGGAGAGCACGACTACAACTACACAACAGGCCTAACCAATATATACATTTGGGCCAAGCCCAATATATAGCGAAGCTCAACTCACCCTCTTCCATCACACCATAAATAAAACATTTGCATACTCCTATTAACTCCACCTACACCAATATATACTCTAATCCCCAACAACAAACGGTGAAGAACAGCGTGATGGTCGTCTTCCCAAACATTCTCATCGTTGCTATCTCTGCTTCCCTTTTCATGTATCTCGCAGACAGTAGAAGTCCGGCATCAATCACTTGCAGCACCGTCGAACTTAATGTAATGTCATGCCTTCAATACACCGAAGGGCACAAGCCCACAGTCGACCCCAAGTGCTGCACCGGTCTCCAAAATCTAGTAGCAACCACAACCTCCGAAGACGACAAGGTGACAACATGCTATTGCTTGGAAGATGCTTTCTAGAAGTTTCCTGCTATCCAGGACGGGTATATGAAAGCGATTCCAAACCTATGCAACATTACGGTTCCTTTCCCTCTCTCAAAGGATATGAAACGTAACAAGTAACTAGAATCACCAACACCGACTCCCTAAAATTGCTATAATACTTGAATATTTCATAATTATCTTTAATGAATTATATCATGAGAATATTTCACCTACTCCATGAATTAATCTAATATTATTTTATTTTTGATGTTTTGTATTGCAGCATCACACACATCACCACCACCTATTAGAGCCACATCCACAAGCTTGTGGATATATTTCGAGATAACGAATCCATCAACAACATCTACAAGGTTGCTAAGATTTAAAATTACTTCGAAATATATGTATATATTCGATGATACTATATATTGTATACATCAAATGTAAGAAACAAGTGACTCGTTTTCCTACAACATGCATATTTCGTTATAATATACTCTTTTCTTTTGTTTTATCCATTTATAGTCCACCCCTTATTGGGTCATGTATGTTCAAGATATTTATCTGTATATCATTTCTAAGAAAATCATATTGATTGTGTCACGATACATGTCTACAATAAATTATTTTCTATCCTCTTTTGCTAACTTCAAAATTCTGAGTGTATCATGATTTTATCTAGTATGGACCTAAAAAAACATACTTGAACCTGGAAAAAAACCAAATATTGTGGGTCTTTTTGGATGTCTAGGGGGTTGTGAATACCCTCCATTTACTGGGTTAAAACTCCCAGGGTCGGGCTTCACATGTGAGTTGATGAGATTTGTTGACGGAAGTGGTTGTTAATCGAATTGGAAACATAAGATAATCGGCACGGAGTTTACGTGATTTCCTTGTTTAGAGAGAACGAAACTAGTCCACTGTTGAAGCAATTATCATCTTATTCAGATACTGTTACAGAATACATAAGTAGGTTTATATAGTTATCCTATAATTAACCCCAGCCGAGTTCCCTAAGGGAAAGGAGAGCACGACTACAACTACACACAGGCCTAACTAATATATACATTGGGTTGAGCCCTATATCTCAAAAGCCTCCCCTAAATTGATGGAGGTCTCGTATCATCAATTTGCCAGCGAGATAGTTGTGTCTACTATCTAGGAAAACCTTCGTCAAAAGATCTGCAATCTGGTCCTCAGAAGACATATAGAAGATACGAAGAGTCCCATCGCGAACTAAGCTCTGATATAATGAATGTGAACCGCGATGTGTTTAGTACGATCATGAAGAACTAGGTTCGTCACTATACAACAACACTAGTGTTATCAACATAAAGATGCATAGGAACCTCACAAGTAACACCTAAATCGCCTAACAATTATTGCAGCCGGTCAAGTTCAGAAGTCACCTCAGACATAGCTCTGTACTCAGCTTTAGTTTAGGATTTTGAGACCCGATCCTGCTTTGTACACCTCCAAGAAAAGAACGATCCTCCAATACGCATGCACCAACCACTCGTAGAGTGTCTAGTGTCAAGACAACCTGCATAATCTGAATCACAAAATGCATGCAGTGTCAATGATCCTGTAGAAGGCAAGAACAATCCCATCGTACTTGTACCCTGTAAGTATATGAGAATCCGGTGAACAACATCGAAATGGATGGTGCGTGTTGCAGTCATAAACTGGCTCACCACCTGAACTGAATAAGCAATATCGGGACGAGTGGAAGCCAGATAGATCAACGAACCAACAACACTACGATAGTGTTTCACTCAGTCAGATAACAACTCACCTTGTCTCCCTTGCCAACTTCAAGTTTTTCTCTATCGGCGTGGAGGCAGGTAGGTAGTCTGTATAGCTAGCATTCTCTAAAAGATCATCAATATACTTCGACTGACTGAGAAGAATGCCCTGAGGGGAACGAGTGACTTCCAAACTGAGGAAGTAAGATAATGAGCATAGTTCTTTGAGACTAAAGGACGCATGAAGACCCTGTGTAAGAGAAGCAATACCGTCATGATCATTACCAGAGACGATAGAAGATCATATCGTCAACATAGAGCAGAAATACGATAGAAGATCATATCGTTCCCACTCTGTTGAATCCCAAGAGCTAAAACAGTAGAATGAAACTTATCGAACCAGGACTGAGGTGCCTTCTTCAATCCATAGAGGGACCACTTGAGCAAACATACCTTATCATCCCCTTTAGAGAACCCAGGAGTTTGTTCTATGTAGACAATCTTTTGCAAATCACCATGAAGAAACGCTTTCTTCACATCAAGCTAATATAGATGCCAAAATCAAGAATAAGTGAACGAACGAAGACCATCTTCACAACAGGAGTAAAAGTTTCTTCAAAATCAACACCATACTCCTTCCGAAAACCCTAATCCACAACACGAGCTTTGAATCGCTCAATAGTCCCATCAGGCAGAAACTTTAAAGCATATACCCATCTGCAACCAATAACCGGAATCTAAGGATTAGGAGGACGTGGAACAAGAACCCACGTTTGTTTCGCACGGAGAGCACCCATTTCCTCATGCATAGCACCGTTTCACCAGGGACCGTCTTTGGCCTAAGAATAGTGGGACAAAATGGGGATAGGATCGACCTAATAAGCTATGTAGTCCTGGTAGCGGATGGGTGGCTGACCCATGGTGGAACGATTGGAGCGGCGAGGTGGAGCAACTGGAACTTCATCCAAAAGCTAATCAGGTGGCGGACTGAGCTGGGAAGGAGGCGGACTGGGCGGCGGAGAGGGAGATGGTGTGGGAGGCGGCGTAGGAGGTAGCATAGCATCATCATCGGTCCCATAATCAAGAGGATTATCATAGTCAAAAAATGAAGGGAGAGACAAGGAGGTGTCAAATAAAGGTGGAGACTCGATGGATGAAGCATAGTACATAAGGTTCTAAAAAAAGACATCATTGCAGGCTACACGAAGATACCTAGCAGTAGGTTCAAAGCATAGATAACCCATATGAACGTCACTATAGGCAAGAAAACAAACCGAACTGTCTTAGACATCAATTTAGTACGTTCAAAATGAGCAAGGAGAACAAAACATAGACAAGTGAAGACTATAAGACAGGCGGTAGAAGGGACTAGACTGGTTAAAAAGCGGAGTTGGCGAAATGCCGTAGCTAATGCCTCCGCCCTAAAGGACGATGGGACGTGCGAGGCTAGAAGAAGAGTTTGTGCCACCTCAAAAATATGCCTGTTTTTACGTTCAACCATGCCGTTTGGCTGAGAAACTCCAGGACAGGAATTTTGGGAAATAATGTCGAGGGAACATACAAACGTAAGAGCGGATTCGAGCTAAACTCCCCACCCGGATCGTATCAGACTACACGAACGGATCTATCAAACTAGGTTTTGATCATGGTGAAAAATTCAGTAGCAACCGGAAAACAGATCAGACTTATGTTTCAAAAAATAGACCCATGTGCAAAGAGTGAATAATGCAAAATACTTATAGCCATGAAGGGACGTGAGTGGACTGTAACCCCAAAGATATGTGTGGATGAGGTGGAATGGTTCAATGATCATAGTGTGGCTAGAAGGAAAAGATATACGAGTCATTTTAGCCTCCACACAGCTAGTGCATAATATGTTAGGACAACAATCAAGATCAATAGATTTTCTAAACAGGTTTTGTTTAAACATAGTAGACAAACGACTAAAGTTGGGGTGGGCCAGCCGAGCATGCCACAAACGAAAAGTATCAGCAGGAAGACTCGAATAAACCGAAGACAAACTCCTAGACACTGATGACAAGGGGGGACGAAACAGAAGATGCCGAGAATGATGATGGGGATGGAAACACCTCAAACTGCTCCAAATGAAAGAGGCGACCATGATTACTACCCCTGCCGATCTACACCCCGTCTTCAGATCTTGTACAGAACAGCCAGAAGGTGCGAAAATCACATGACACCCATTGTTAGTAAGTTGACCCAAAAAAACAAGACTAGGGATAATATGCGGAACAATGTCAAAATGTTGTACATAACCAATAGTATCAACACCAAGCTTCACACCATTAACTACTTGCAGGGATAAATTACGAACCGGACGAGCATAAGAAATAGCAGATGCATCATTCTTCATATGATTAAAGTCGGCAGAGTCTAATTTTCACTGTCAGGGAAGCTTACCTGACGCTTGAAGGCTAGCAAAGGCGGATGTGATGGCCTTGTGGACAAGATCTTTCAGGGCAGCCGAGGTCACCGTAACACCCTCCTGCACAGGGGCGGGCTGAGTGGCATAGGCGGGACGAGAGGACGAGGCCGGATTTATGCTACCCTGAGAACCATTAGAGCCATTCATACGACTCTGCAGGACACGAAAGCCAGGGATAATATGGCCAGACTTCTTGCAATAGACGTAGAAGTTCCGACGGCGACAGTATTTCTGCGTATGGCCTTTCTCCCAGCAGCAGTGGGGGGGGGGGGTATCTATATACCATTTCTAAGAAAATCATATTGATTGTGTCACGATACATGTCTACAATACTTGAACCTGAAAAAATCAAATATTGTGGGTTTTTTTGGATGTCTGGAGGTTTTTGAATACCCTCCATTTACTGGGTTAAAACTCCCAGGATCGGGCTTCACATGTGAGGTGATGGGATTTGTTGACGGAAGTGGCTGTTAATCGAAACGAAAACGCAAGATAATCTACATGGAGTTTACGTGATTTTCTCGTTCAGATAGAAACTAATGTACGAACGAACTAGCAATCGTCTTATTCAGATACTATTACAGAGTACATAAGTAGGTTTATATAGTTCTCTTATAATTAACCCTAGCCGAGTTTTCTAAGGGAAAGGAGAGCACGACTACAACTACACAACAGGCCTAACCAATATCTACATTTGGGCCAAGCCCTATATCTCAACAATGGCGGGTTTCAGATACCCTGCATCCTTACCCCCGCTATCCCCACCCGCACAAGTCATGTATATTCTCCATCTAACATTAGAATCCACCCTCGTCAAAGAAATATGATATCTTATTTGTATTGTGAAATTGATCATTCACCTCTTAAAACTCGTCTCATCCCTTGGGACGTTACGAGGGGTCCAACTCTCAAAATTTTTTTTATGAACTGAGCTATCATAAACAGGAATAAAGAAATAGTGGAATTGTGAATTGTGTACGATGGAGTTTTTTCATTATCAGTGTTTGCAGGCTAGGAGTGTTTCCCAAGAGTTTTAATTAAGTAGTGATTCTTATTGTAATGGAATATATTTTCGTAAATTATTAGTAGTACTTCGCATAGTTATAGTAGTATTATTTCGTATGGATTATCTTTTTAATATATTTCAGTAATGGTCGTTACTAATCCAGTTTTTTTATAAAAAGACAATAGTTCTTACTAAAAATCATCAATTACCACTAATTAAAAATCACAAAATCATGAAATTTCTACTATAAGCAACCAAAATTGTCCACTCTTTATAAAATGAAAATAATTTATATCATCTTTAAAAATTGGGGCCAAAATAGTATTTTAAGTAAAAATTCAAGAAGAAATGGCTTATTGACCATATATTCACGTAGATCTCGTCTTTGCGTATCGGTCTTTACTCTCTACCAAGACAAAATTTTAATCAGGAAACATTCAAAACTTGAGGAAAGTGGATAAATTAAAGTAAATGTTGTTCTAAATTAATGTTGAATTTAGGGATGGCAAAAATATCCATAACCGTGGATATCCGCCCGAATTTGGTCTAATCGGATAGGGTAAAATCCGAACCCAAAGGATATTTAGTGGGTATGGGTAAAATTCGAAGCCGAATATTGCGGGTAATGGGTGGGCATGGGTTTCTCACTATCCAACCCGAACCCGCCCAATTATACACATGCATATATATTTTGTCTAGAAATAATCATTATTTTTCTCTAACATATTTTATATTTAGCATATAAATATAATATTTTCATGAAATTGTGTAGTTTTAATTAATTTGCTTCATTCTAGTGAATTATTGTTGTACTTTTCCTCTTACGTAATGTGAGAATACGTGTGAATGTTAACATATTTGTTGGAGTTATGAAGAAAAATTATTACACATGGATAACCGTGGATAACCGAAACCCGAACGGGTATGGCCATGGTTTTGATTTTGTACCCATTTCACATGTGGGTATGGATATGAGTAAAACCCGAAATACTATGAGTAGGGTAACGGATATGCACTATCCGCATCCGACCCGACCCATTGCCATCCCTAGCTGAAATTTCATTTCTCATTAGTCACATGGGTCGTTTGGAAGAACCTTTTAGGTGAGTTATTTTGGCTCAAATGAGTTATTGGGCCAAAATAACTAGTTTGACAACACTTTATTGAGCGGATTCTACAGTACCTTCACGGCACTAATGCTGGCTGTTTCTTGGCCATTGGATTGGTTGCATATTAATAAGGGCCGTTGATTAATAATCACTACTTACCAAAATGGTTGAACCTTTATATTTGGTTGAACCTGCTATTAATTCTAAGTTTTTTAATATAATTATTATTTTTCTAGATGACCGGATGGTGCCAGAGGGGCTGATGACGATGGTGATTTCGACTGACTCAGGGGCGGAGCTACAGCATGTCTCGGGAGGGCCCCGACCCCCCCGAGAATTTCGAAAGTCACGTATAAATAAGTCGGGATCGTGTGTACAAACTACAATTTTAATATAAAATACAAATCGTGCAAACTTAAGACATAAAGTTTCTTGTAACCCAGCGGAAGATGAGCTATTGTATCACGGCTAAATTACACGTTTGGTCACTCAAATTACATAAATATTTCACGTTGGCCACCCAAATTACTTTTCTTTCATATTCGCCACTGACTTTATGAATCATTTCACCGTTAGTCACCGACCGTTAGTCTCCGTTAACTCCGTCAGTTTTTTGATGACGTGGCAAACAGAATTACTGACTGGACCGTTAAATTAATGACATGTCAATTTAAAAAAATAAATAATAAATAATTAACAGCGTTACAGTTTCTTTACGACTCTCCCTCTCTCTCTCTCTCTCTCTCTCTCTCTCTCTCTCTCTCTCTCTCTCTCTCTCTCTCTCTCTCTCTCTCTCTCTCTCTCTCTCTCTCGAAGTCGCAGCTGTTCGTCGATTAGCGAAAGAAACGGTGTGGAGACGATGAATTCGGTGGCGGCAACGACGAAGAACCAGTGGCGGAAATGCCTCTCTCCGACTCTCCGACTCTCGATTTCCCCCTAAACGACGATTGAGCACCAGAGGACGAAAAAGGAGGCGGTCGGAAAAAGCAACGGCGAGCGATGAAGGCGTCTGAACAAGCGTCCCGCAGTCCCTGTCTGCGCAATCTCTTCTCCCTTCTGCCTCGACGCGACGGTGACAGTCGTTCTCTCCGCTACCCTCTCTCTCCGATCTTTCCCCTTCCCTTTCGCCAACGCTGCCTTCTCCTTCTTCATCGTCGCACTCGTATTATCCCCTACATTCACCGCCTCAATCCTCCATGAACTTCAGGGATCTCTAAAATTGCCTCAATCGGAACCTTTCCCACCATCTTCGATTCACTGAGAACCTTCATAGCGGAGGTCCGAATCCGAATTCAGGGTATCGACTATCTAATTTGGGAGGGTGGGGCGGATGTTCGTAGGATTGGGATGGCGGGGGAGCTTGTTGACCAGAACGACGAGGAGAGTTGCGGGATTCGATCGAGCTTAGGGTTTCAGAGATGGGGATTGGACATCTTTTCACAGATGAAATAGGATTGGGATGGCGGAGGAGCTGGTTGACCAGAACGACGAGGGAGGTGCGGGATTCGATCGGGGTTAGGGTTTCGGATATGTGGGATTCGACAATTTTCACGGATGAAAACAACGGCCATTGCGCTCTAGTAAGTGACGACCCGCAGGAGTCATCACTTTGGACGACCCGGAATGGAGGAGTTCCGCCGGACTGGTGAAATGATGGTGGCAGTGGTGGTTTCGGTGAGGGTGTCTAGATGCAGAGGGGAGGAGGAGTTGGAATGTTAATTAATTATTTTTTATTTTTTTATTTTTTTAAATTGACATGTCATTGAATTAACAGTCTAGTCATCAGTTCTGTTTGCCACGTCATCAAAAAATTAACGGAGTTAACGGAGACTAACGTACAGTGACTAACGGTGAAATGATTCATAAAGTCAGTGGCGAATATGAAAGAAAAGTAATTTAGGTGGCAAACGTGAAATATTTATGTAATTTGAGTGACCAAACGTGTAATTTAGCCATTGTATCACCCAAAGGTCTTGGGTTCGATGCCATGGGGAAGCAGTTTACACTTTTCCACAAGGTTAATTGTTTTTTTGGTTAATTACTTTTATGGTAGTTTACATAAACTACAACTTCTCCTTCCTTTTTTGTTATAATAAGTGGGTATTAGATACTTTAGTCATTAACTTTATAATTTTTATTTCCCTTTTAAGTTGTAGTTTACATTAATTAATTACCGCTTTTGCTTATTGAAATACATTATTTTTTCTTTTTCTAATTTATAGTAAATATAATGGAAAATATTTTATATGGTTATAATAAAACAAATTAGTATAAAAAATAGATTTTTAAAACTAAATATTTTAATTATTAGTATTTTTTTAGTCTTTTGCGGTAATGTATTATGAAATCCGGCCGACCGGCCCCCCCGAGCACTAAAAGCTAGCTCCGCCCCTGGACTGACTGGTTTTGGGATTTGGGTGGTGACAGGTCGACGGCGACGACAACGGTGGTGGTGGATTTTTGCGGCGGAGAAGCTATTGGCGATTACCAGGCAGCAACATGAGGGCGGATGAAGGTAGTTATTTTGATTTATGAGAGGTTCGAGATATTGGTGGTGATGGTCGACCGGCGACAGCATCGATGATAGTGGTGGATTGCATGCCGGTGAGACTTTGACGGAGGAACTTCATTGCTAAAGTTCGGAGAAAAGAATAAAAGAGTGGAAGCGGAAGAGACCCAATGACCCATTGCCTGCCTCTCTTTTTTATTTATTTTGTTTTTAACTTTTTTCTGGTTTTATTAATTTATTAGTTAAACCGGACCCACCCATTGATCACAAACCCAACCACTTTATTTGAACCGGGCAGAAAATTCTGACGGCACCGGTATAGTGTGTTATTTATAAATAACTCAAAATAAGTATTTTTTATATGAAATAACTTTTATCTCGTATTATTTGAAAATAACTTATTTCTCATATATTATTTCCAATAACACATGTGAAGAGTTGAGCCGAACGAGATTTTCTTTAACTCAACAATGTTTAAGCAATTCGGGAAAACGAGAAACAAACAATAGATAGGAGAATAAGTTTTGATTAGTCCGAAACTTGTCAAGAGCAATTTAGGTGCATATCGCCAAATATATGTGCAATGCATAACCACTACGGTTAATTTTTAACCGGGTATTTAAACTCATATTTCATATTTTTCGCATAGAATAGTTGAGTGATATATTTAACCTGAGTACTATATATATACTCTATAAATTATACTCTACCATTATTGCGTAATGTAAGCAAAAGTATAATGTAATGAACTTGGGAAATTTTCCGTGATGCAGCTTTGGAAACTTAAAAGGGTGAAAAATTATATACTACTAACTAATAAGGATGATATCTTTGGTTCCAAAAGCTAGATCAAAATTAGACTCCGCCACTGACCATTTTGTTGTCCTCTATTAGGTAGAAATCAAACATGAGTTTCAATTTGGGAATAAACAAAGTGACGAAAACTGCAGGTCCCCGGTCCCAGTCGTTTTCTTTTGGTTTCAGTATAAAGTAACGGTCCATTCGGCAAAGTTGCCAGAGGTGGCCGGTGGACGTGATCAGAACTAGTAGCTGGTAGCTGAAATTCCATTTCTTGAAACTCAAGCTAGACACCTTTCACATTCTTTCGCTGTAGACATTATGATGCTTGTTTCTGCAGATTTCTTGACCTCTATTACTAAAATGACAAAGAAGACAAATCCTGTAAGACTATATATATAGCAAAGCTCCACTCACCCTCTTCCATCACAGCGCAAAGAAAGCATTTGCATACTCCTATTAACTCCACCTCTACACCAAGATATACCCTTATCCCCAACAACAAACGATGAAGAACAGCATGATGATCATCTTCCCAAACATCCTCATTGTTGCTATCTCCGCTTCCCTTTTCATGTATCTCGCAGACAGTAGAAGCCCCGCATCAATCACTTGCAGCACTGTCGAACTTAATGCGATGCCATGTCTTCCATACGCCGAAGGCGACAAGCCCACAATCGACCCCAAGTGCTGCACCGGTCTCCAAAATCTCGTAGCAACTGCAACCTCCAAAAACGACAAGGTGACAGCATGTCATTGCTTGGAAGATGCTTTCCAGAAGTTTCCTGCTATCCACGACAAGTATATGAAAGCGATTCCAAACCTATGCAATGTTACGGTTCCTTTCCCTCTCTCAAAGGAGATGAAATGTGACAAGTAAGCAGAATCACTACCTAACACCAACTCTCTAAAATTACAATAATGCTTGAAAAATATTTAGTAAATTCTATTCACGAATATTGATCTAACATTGCTTTATTCTCATGTTCTTACCGCAGCATCAGACAAATCACCACCATCTATTAGAGCCACATCTAAAAGTATGTATTTCGAGAAAAAAAAAATCGATCAACAACATCAACAAGGTTGCTAAGCTCTAAAATTACCTCGACATGCATGTATATGTTCGATGATACTGTATATTATACACATCAAATGTAAGAAACAAGTGGCTGGTTTTCCTACAAACTACATATTTAGTTATATTCTACTTTATTTTCTCCAGTTTGTCCATTTATATTACACCCCTTATCTTGGACGTGTATGTTGAAGATAACTATATGTATACCAAATTTTGCCTTCTCCAGCAAATTTCTCAAAAAAATTGACGGCAGAATGTGATTGTTGCGAAACTTGTCAAGAGCAATTTAGGTGCATAGGGCCCAATCTGTGCATCATATATCACCACTATCATTACTTTTAACAATGTATTTAAACTCAAATTTCATATTTTTTTCATAGAATAATTGAATTGTACACTTGAAAAATGCATCCACTGTGTCTGATATATTTACTTTGTTCTCCCTCCGCTTCCAAAGTTTCTTTCATGGTTTTGCATCCTTCTGAATTTAGATTCAGTTCATTCAAATTTAAGTGTCTTAACGACAATCAATCACGCACGAGTTAACCAACTGTCTAGAGTTCCATAAAATGCCCTACACAACAAGACAGATGTTCATTTACACAAGAGACATGCTAAAACAGGAGTTACAGTTCAACCTGGCCTTTCGAATTCTGCCAGAATCCCCCAAGAGCTCAAGCATTCTTGATCGAATTGTTACATGAATACGGACCGGTACTTCTGTCGTGTGGAATAGACCAAAGCTGAAGCCGTTAGATGACTGACTGACACAGCAAAGCAAGATGCTGCTCGAACCCGTTGACAGAAACCAGGGGTGATATACAGTAATGCCTCTCTCCAGTCATCCTCCCCATCTCTCCGTGTTGGTATTTCGAAGACATGGTGAAGCACGCTAATGTTGCCCCAACCAGCAAAGGGAAGGGAAACCATCTTGTTCTTATCATGGAACTTGCAGAGACCAACCAAAATTACTCAATCAGTCTCAATAGAACTAGCTGTAACAGTAAGGTATTAGATTCAAACAGTTAACTCCATACCTTAACCCAGCGTATCAGTATGATATGTATCTGCAGTTTCAATTGCTTCTCTCAAAGCTTGAGGCCCCAAGCATCTGAGAACCTATACCCACGACCCCCACAAAATTTTCAGGTTACTTGGGTTGTAGGAAAACAGTGATATAGCATAGAAAAGCTTATATTTTCCCTTGAATGCATGGAGCTCATCATAAGAAACCAGTCTTTCTGGCATAAAGATGATAACTTTGCCTGTTCAAATGGGTGTCAACACCTAAGCGCCTAACTCAAACACAAATAAACTTGTGTTTGAGATGGAGCAGGAATAGCAGATAACAGCAAGGAAAGCACTAAACATGACAATGAAAAACATACCTCATTGGCATCTTTGAAGACATTGGAGTCACCGTTTCTGGGCCAACGTACAAGCCAACATCTGATGCAAGGAAACCAGCATAACAAGGCACAAAACTAGAAGGCTTAGTATTACGATATTCTCCAGGCTGGTGAACGGAAGCATCATGCTGGTTCCAAAACAGATATCACTAATAAAATCACATGGCGAAGAGAAGAAACAACCTTTCTTTTCCCAACCGACGTGCTAGCTCTTCTGCCAATGCTTGTCCAGATGAGTCGCCATCAGTAGCCAGGATAATGCGTGAAAACTAATGAGGTTCAATAAGAAAACAGAGAGCATGAGTAAAAGCTTTAGGATGTCCATGAATCGCTACAACAACTTCTCTCCAAATGCTTACTTTATCCAAGTACTCTTTGCAGTTCCATATGTACTGAAATGCTCTATCCTGGCTTCAAACAGCATACATGCACATGACAAAAAAGATGAGATAGTTTACTAACAAGGATAATAATGTCTGCTATGCATCAAAATATACGGAAATAGGATTTGAACATTCAAAAGGAAATATCAAAGCAATGTAAGCAGCCTTTTAACAAACAATATGCACAAAGGAAACATGCTGGTCTCCCGTTCAAACCTTTTCTGCTGAAGGTAAATCTTTGGATGACACTGTTATTGGTGCACCTGCTGGAACACTCACGCAATTACGGAAACCAGCTTCCTCTAATGAAAGTTTATCGATTTCCCCTTCAACCTTGGATAACATGAAAAAAGAAATCATGTACAAGAAATGAAAAATGCCGGACACGAAGGGAGGGAGTGAATCAAACAGAAAGTAGAAAGAAATGAAAAACAAGGAAATATAATTTACTATAATGATTTCAGTGGCTTCAGTTATGTCATCAAGTCCATATAACCACTTCTCTGTCCCACTCTCCTGAAAATTTAAAAACATTTCCGTTGTAATAAATCACAGAAGATTAGATCTGGGTAAGAGGTACTGATGCAGTGGTTATCAGTGCTTAGAACATTACGCTTTAAGAATATACCCACCTACCTGCCAAAACCTTTTGTCTATGGTACGGTACTTGCAGCCAACAAGCTCTCCACCTTTTCTGTAAGTAAAAGCAATGACAGCCTGCATACAGTAGGATTAATAAAGTATCAGATTCTTGATACAAACTGGTAGATATTATGCCATCATGCTGAAAACAAAATGATCGAACCAAAGGTCATAATCCAGGATATAATTTCGGTTTTGAACAAAATTAGAAGGTTCACTACACTCTTCTGAACTTAGAAAAACCGAAAGTTCTGGATACCAAAATTACTAACAACTAAATATGAACTAAAAGGAGTGGCTTTCATAACCTGAGATGTCTGCATAACTGCATTCCTCCGCAGAGTTCTTTCAGAAATCCTTCTCTCATTGAAGTAAAGAACCAACTGCAAAAAGGAAGTATAAGTGCACAATTCTATGCTCTTCACACAGACATTTGAAAGAAACTTTTGGAGAACTACAATGCCTGCTTCATACAATTTTGTGTGCATCTGCACATATATCTTTAGCATAAGTTACTTAAAGTACATATGTGAGAAGTAATAGGCACACCTTATCTCCTAACGGTTCTAATCCTATGCCCTCAGCTGTCAACTTGTCGGATGATTCAACTTTAAGCATTAAATTCATTCCTTCCATTGTTGCCCTGTGATCGGCAAAGGCCTACAAGCAAAAGCTACCTTGATCACTCTCATGTCTTACAACGATTTTTCAGCTTCTTAAAAAATTACACAAGGGAAGCAAATCAAAAGATTGCCTAACCTGCCCTGCCCATCCACAACTAGGACGAAAACACCTCCACATTGCAAACCCCCTGGACAACATACACCATTCGCAAACTCAAATGAAGCAGCAGATCACATTGAAATTTGAAAGACTGAAACAAAAGAAAGTTCAAGCAGAACAGCATATTCAACTTACCCATCTTGGATAATGTGGAAAGATAAGCAGCTCTCCATTGACATGCCACCTTTGCACTGCAGATGTCCATTCCCACCCAAACAGCAAGTTAAGAAATTCCCTAAATTAGCGACAGAAATGGATATTGTCGACCAGATGAAACATGACTAAACCTTGGGGCAAAGCAAGTGAGTGAACAACCCAGCCACACAGGAATCGTCAGTCTTAATCCCGAGAAACTCTATTTTCTTCTTCAACATCCTCGATTTATGGCGGACCTCAAGGGTTCCCACTTCCGAACCGGACAGCACAAGTGGGAGGCTGGCGGTAGAGTAGCGAGGCCGCAAGAAGCCATTGCGAGAACGGAGACCGCCAGCCGGTGATGAACACCAAACAATTGGAAGGCGGAAGAGCGGCAGCCAACGACTTGCCACCGCAATTGGCGCCATTTCCTCGATAAAGCTCAACGGAATCAACCCCCAACCCAATCCAACCAACCACTGTATACGGAAACGGGAAACTCACTGCGAGTAAACGAGTAGGAGACGGACATTTGGCTATTTGCAGGTCGAAATGGGCCTGGCCCAATTAAGATTAAGCCCATATCTCCTCCCGTGCCAAAGCCCTAACCCTAACGAGGAAATAAATAATTAATTAATAATAAATAAACAATAACGGCCTCCGGCTCCTTCTCCGCCATTTTTGGAGGAACCCTAACCGCCCACCCTTCCCACTTTCTTTCTCTCTCCGGTACGCTGAATATAATTTCCACAAGGACGACGACAGTTAACGATACTTCCCCCAAACATTGCAGAGAACAGTATCTATTCTCTCTCAAATCTAACTTCCCTACAGATTCCCACTTTGGCGCCATGGCTGCATTGAGCTTGTGTTCCAGCTACCACCAGCAGCAGCATTATTTCAACTATTTCCCGGAGGAGGAGGACCAATTCACTGCCGCCGCCGCCTTCCCACTACTTCCGGCGTACATTGAAACAGAGGCGGTGGGATTTGACACAGAGATGCTCGCAATTGATCACGATCAGCTCCAATTCAACTGCCTCCTCCCTCCTCATCAGGATTATGCAATTCCCGAGCCCCTTTTCGAATTCGATTCTGACAGCTTCCTTCCTTACTTCTCCTCTTCCTACGACGACCACAACCTCATTTCCCTCTGCCCTGAAATCTTCCCTCTCAACGGGCTGGACAATTTTCCATACTCCTACCACCGAGAATTTCAAAAGCCAACTCCACCACCCGCTAGCTGTGATCAGAATCCTGACTTCTTTTATTGCTGCACAGAGCCTAGCCTCTTCCCCGGGTTCCCTGCTCCGGCGACGGTTGATTTTCTGGATGACATTCCAGTTCCAGCTGCTCCGTTGCCGGCTCCAACGTTTGAGCCGCCAGCTGAGCCGGTGAGGTTCAGCATTGGGAGGAGCGGCGGCAAGGAAGACGAGGAGGTGATGAACAAGAAACAGGGCAATGGGGATGGAGTGACCTTGTCGGCGCAGAGTATTGCTGCGAGGCATAGAAGGAGGAGGATAACGCAGAAGACTCAGGAGCTAGGGAAGCTGATTCCTGGTGGGAACAAGCTGAATACTGCTGAGATGTTCCAAGCTGCTGCCCAATATGTCAAGTTCTTGCAGGCTCAAATAAGCGTTCTTCAATCCATGGACTCGCCTCAGGTATTTTGCCAAAAAAACAAAAAAGCTTTCAACTTTCTGTCTTTTGCCTTTCTGGGTTTTGTCCGAGATGATTGATTGAGTTCTCTCAACCATACAGGAACCAATTGAGGTCCCGAAAGAGCTGCAGACGCTGGTGACGTCGCCGGTGATCCAGCAGAAGATGTATTCGGAAGAGAAGTGCTTCGTCCCAACTGAGCTTCTCCAGAAACTGGTGCATCGTTCTGAGGTCCAATCGAAACCGATGGTTATGAAGGAGATTGATGTGTTGCTGCTGAACAAACAACACTGACAAGCAATTCCTTTTTGCTTGGTCTACTTAACGTCTAGAGCTTTTACTTAGCTTTTTTCTTGTTTGTTGTTGTCTCTGACACTTACTTGTTAGGGATAGCTCTGTTTTTCCCATGTTTCTGTTGATAGGTAACTGCTTCTAAACTTAGGTCGTACAGCCCTAATCTAATCATCTGATTACAGTCCTAATCTAATCATTTGATTAATCCTCTGTAAAGCTCTAGTTACCCTAGTTAATGGATTTCCTCATTCCAATTCCACCATTTTCTCTTTCATGTTCCGTTCCCTTTGCATACTTTGATCCTGAAGGAAGGTAATCCAGGTTTTTTTTTTTTTTACGGAAACCTGCATTGGTAATCCAGGTATCCGAAGAGCATAATGATGGTGGTTTTCAATATTACAGTAATAATAATTATTAAGTTCCCACCAAAATAATAATTACTATTCATAAAAATAATAATTACCACAATTTCCAGTTTCTGTACAATAATAAACCTGCAGGCTGCAGCCATATAATGATCCGGGTTATTCGCAGGAAACTGTTAAGAAGATAATTAGATAAAACATTTTCCCGAAGTTTAACCGATCATTTCCACCATATTTGAGAAAAGGAAAAGGGAGAAGTTACCATTTTCCTCCATCTCAACTACTTTCTCCAATGGCTGCCGCAGCGGATTACTTCATCTTCCTCCTTTCCCTCGCGGCTTCATCAGTACTAATTTCCACTTCCCATTCTCGAACTGTTGTTGAAGATCTTGCAACGCTGAAACCTCCGCCGGACTTCGACGCGATGCTCCGAACCAACTGCTTACACAACCCGTCTCACCGGTACTGCGGCTTCTCCCCTGCCGACATCGACGCCGTCTTCAAGTCCACAATCGTCGCCAGCTACCTCTGCAACGAGTCCCGAAACCCAAACTGCGTTGAGTCTTTCCCCAGAATCGATCTCCGGAACCGCCCCACAATCGCCCCGCTCTATCTATCTTTCAATTTCTTCTGGAAGTACTGCCCCATAAGCATCAACTCCATCGATTTCTCCAACAATTCCATCACCGGAAGCTTCCCCGCCGACATCCTGCTCTGCACCCAAATCAAGTCCCTCGATTTCAGCCACAATCGGCTCACTGGCGATCTCCTGATCAAAAGCTTCGACCCTCTCACCAACCTGTCGTCCCTCAACCTGTCGTACAATTTCTTCTCCGAGGCCAAGATCTCGGATTCCCAATCCTTCCTTCGCCGGTTCAATTCCTCCAGTTTTATCGATTCCGGCCTCCTCCCCTGTCCCAGAACTTTCACCCTCAAGGCGGTGCTTCTATTGGTTGCATTTCCAGTATCCGTCATTCTTATCATCTGTTGCTTCGGGTGGCTCTGTTTCCGTCGACCGGACTATCTCCCGCGATTTCTCCGGCCACAGCACCGTTTCACCCCATCGATGCTCCGGGCTGCCACGGACGGGTTTTCCAGGAAGAATCTGATATTAAAGACCGAAGAATTTCGTATATTCAGAGGAAGGCTGCGAGATGGATGTGAAGTCAGGGTCGAGATTCGCTTAAACGACATCGATCTTCACCACCATCATCATCACACAAACATTACATCCGAGTTTGTGGAGGAATGCAAGGTTCTAGTTCAGCTCCGCCACAAGAACTTGTTACGAGTGATGGGATGGTGTGCAAGCAGAGAAATGCGAGCCGTGGTGACAGAGTGGACCGAAGGCGACGACGTGGAAATGTGGCTGTCAGGATCCTGTCCTCCATGGAAACAGAGGCTCAAAATCCTGATGGGGGTTGTTGAAGGAATGTGCTACCTTCAGGAGAACTGGCCTGAAGTTGGTTACGACCTCAGGACAGGAAGCTTGCTTCTCCGCTACAACAACCTGGAGCCTCTCATTACTAGATTCAAAGTCGGAGAGGACAACTTTAACTCCAAAAGTAAGCAAAACCAAATCCCTGTTTTTTTTTTTTTTCATTCTTCGGATAATCTGTCAGAATTAATCAAGGAAATCCTGATCGTGTTGAATTGTGTTATAAACAGAGGTGTACAAGCTAGGAGTGCTGCTGTTGGAGCTGATAACGAATCGACGGCCGAGGGAAGAATTCGAGAGGGGAGAGGCTGGGTTCGTCGAGTTCGTCAGAGCGAATTACCCAGAAAACTTGGGAGGGATAATTGATGACAGGATGATGTTGCCGGAGAACATGCTGGATCAAGCTAAAAGTGGGGTCGGATTGGGGCTGATGTGTACCGATGTGTCGATGAGCAAACGGCCGAGTGTTCATCACATACATGACATGATACGGAGGGCGTATAAGGCTTGTGTGGCCTTGACGTCCCAGAATTGCGAAACCAGAAGAAATCGTAGGGATGGTGGGAAGGGACAGAGATAGGCTCGTCAAATATAGAGCTTTTGGCTAATGGATTGATGGAGTTTGAGGCTGATTGAAGCTGTATTTTCTATCGTGACTTATAGTTATCGTATAATGGGTTTTGTAGGTCCCATTTTGTAATTTATATTTGTTCAAATTGTGTGTTATGGAACTTCAACATTATTGAGAGTCTTGTATGTTTAACCTACATAATAAACAAATTCAAGAAGATCTGGAGGTTATGTAAAAATGATTAGTCAACTTCTTAAAGATGGGGCATCGTTAGTTAAAAAAAAAAAGTAGCCTAATCACAAAGATAATAAATCTAATTGGATTGGATTGATAGATTAGAGACGTGATTATCATCTTTATAGATAAAAGGAATCTCGTAACATAGAAGGATTAACTAAATGTTTGATTTAGCTGACCTCGCATAGTAGATTGAACCCTAGTCCCTATAATATCCAAGTGAATGATTATCTAGTCGACCTTCTTATCCAGCATCATCGAATGAGTATCACAATGCATCAACATAAGGCTATGAGTTTTTCGGACACAAAATGTATAGCGAGAGCGGGAATGATAATTACAAATGGATAAATTTTAAAAGTACAAGATGATTAAGTTTGAAGAGTTTTTTTTTTTTTTTTTGTTACAGGTGTTGATTGGTAGGTAAACAAACAGTGAATTGTGTGTGATGTTTCAGGGTACATATATAACATGAATCAAAGGAACAATAAACATTAATTCTTGTAGCCATATCAAACTTGTCGTTCGATCATGATCATGTCGCTCTAATAGGCAATAGTGAACTGCTTGATGCTGCAAATCAAAATTTAAGAATGAAGTCAAAATAATGACTGGTGCATAAAATGGCGCATGGAAAAAGAAATTCATAGCGGATTCCACTTACTTGTCACATTTGAGATTCTTAGAGAGAGGAAAGGGGACAGTAACATTGCACAGCCCAGGAATTTTCTGCAAATCCTCGTCTTTGATGGTTGGGAACTTCTGAAAAGCAGTAGCCAAGCACTTGCAGGCGGCGGTCTTGTCGTCGACCGTCGTTGCGCTATCGGCGAGGTTGTGTAGGCCGTTGCAGCAGGTCTGTGGAACTTTGTCCTGACCTCCTTGAGCGAACTGCAGGCATGGCATGGCATCGATTTCCACCGTGCTGCATTGGACAGCCTTTGGCGTTGGCTGTCTGCTCTCTGCAACGCAAATGAAGAGGACGACGGAGATTCCAAATATGATGACAATGTTTGAGATGATCGCCTTCTTCATCATCATCATCATGTTGTTGTTTTGATGGTACTTTGCTAGCAATATATATGTATGGGTTTTGAGGGAGAGAAGTTGTTTTTGTGAGTTTGATGGAGAATGAAAGAAGGGGATGGGGATTATATATCCTACAAGTTTTGTCTTCTGTATATATCATCACATTTTAAGTAAAGAGACATTGCGTTAAGGTTCAGGATTACGTAAATGAGAACAAAAAATAGTTCCAATGCGGAAGGGTTTGAGAGATTAGTCCACGTGATAATAATGTGAAAGGTGGGCATCTTGTTCATGGACTATCAATCTAACTCTTGTATGTATAAAAATAAAATTTCCACAAAAAATAAATGGCCTTTTTAATTTATAAGGGTTAGTAATTATGGCAGAAGTTATGGTTCTAATACTTTTTTGATGGTATAATGATAATATTAATTAAAACTTATAGAAATAATTCATTTTGATAAATTTTTTATTTAAATCGCTTGACCATAATTATAAAGAATGGGACATGCGCTTCTAATTATAAAAAATTAGAGGCATATGCGTGTAGACCTATTTATAAATTTTAAAAAGTTTAAGTATCAAAATATATGAGATAAAATTTTTGTACTAAATGTAAATTTTCATCGACATTTTTAGAACTTATATGAAAAAAATCATTTTAGATACTTAATCTTAAATTTAGGTACAAAACTGCAATTTGCATATAGAACCACACAAGTTTTCTAAGGCATCCAAGTTCTCTAAAGCAGATCTAAAACTTCATAAATCAGACTACATATTAAAATATACAACATATTTATTAAAACAGACCACAAGTTCCGGTAAGCATACACTAAAAAAGCTTCATTTTACAGTCGGAAACATTTGTAGCAAAAGGTATAAATTTCTTCTGTAAAGGGTTCTGCAACTAAACTAATGTTGCCAAACTATTTCTCATGCGTCTTGTATTCTAGGTCGCCTAAATTTTTTGCTACAAAAATTAATGACTACTTCGCCAAAGGTGGAGTCCGCCACCAGAATTTTGATGCTTTCGCGACGAGGTGCAGCATCGACGAACAAGGTATATATGTGAGACAAACTTTGTCATCGTAATAAATGAACGTTTTGGCCACGAATTTGGTTGTCAATGTACAATTGATTCCACGATGACTTTTGGCGACGACCTTGCAATACATGACATACAGCGACGAAAAGTAGTAGTGGAACATTTGCAATAGATATTGTTTGTCGCAGAAGGTGGTTCCAGCGACAAATGTTCTTTTTTTATATTGAATGGTTCTTTCTTCTTTTGATTTATATATGAAATTGTAACAAAATAGAACAACGTTTTACAAAAATAAAATCGAGGACATTCACAATAGAAAAGCGGGAATTTTTCAGAAATACCAACAAAAAATAAAAAATCCTAAAAATACCTCACATTTCCAAAAAACAAATTTCAAAAATACCACCTTTTCCATTAACCGCCAATCCACCAAGAGATTTAAACGAAAATCGTTGGGGGGTCGTGGTTTAAACAAAAACGGCGTTGGGTCGAGGCGGTTTGATTTGCCGCGGGCGGTATCGACGGTTAACATGCATACCACCGCCCCTTGGTGTTTGTGTGAAATTTTGTTTTGATTAATGTCTAACCTAGGTCGAAACTTCAAACGAACGTAACTTTTATTTGGGTATCAGATCGTAGCGAAATGTTTTTGATCCGCATAACTTTTTAAGGACTACAACTTTTATCATAGCCAGAATTTTCGGAATGTACATGAATTTGTGAAAAGTAAAAAGGTAAAGTTATTCCCAAGACCCCGTATATATCCAAAAATAATTGTTGTTTATATAAATTTCTTTCAAGTAAAAGTTGTAGTCCCTAAAAAATTATGCGTAATCAAAACAAAATTCGCTACGATCGAATACTCGAGTTTAAAGTTACGTTCATTTGAAGTTTCGACCTAGGTTAGTAGTTGATAAAAAAAATTGTATAAACTGCTGGGGGGCAGACGGTTTTCAGCTTAACCGCCGCTACCATCGCAGTTTATCGGAACGAACGAAACCGCGGGTGGGGCGGCGGTTTTCACCTTAACTGTGGGATGGGTGGTGGTTTATGGGAAATGGTAGTATTTTAGGAATTTTCGAAAATAGGGGTTTTCTTTGGAATTTTTTTTGTGGTATCGTTGGAAAATGTCCCAGAAAAGCAATAAGATACTACAATGTTCTTACTATCTGGTACAATTATCAAATACGTCTATAATAGTTTATCAAGATGAAAAATACTTGCAATTTTTTCAAAAAAGAAAATACTTGTACTATCGAATGAGTACTTCTACACCTAACTATACATATCATCAATCATCTCTTGAAGTCATCCAAGCCTCAAGTACTGAATACTTCGTTGCTGACCCCATTGAAATAAATCTCATCAGAACCAATCAAATTCCATGATCCAGTACTCTTAAAATAAAACTAGCTCTTGTTGTCCACGCTTCACACCAAGATTGTTTTATATGCAAAAGTCATTTGTAACGTAAATTATCAAAATAAGGTAAACTAAAACTTTGGCATTGTCGATTATAAAATGCAAATGCAGCTTAATCCAAGTGTTGACATACCAATTTATAGTTAATGGCCTTTTTATAAGGGTTCGTAATTAGGGCAGAAGTTAGGTTCCCAATAATTTTTTGTTAGTATAATGATAAAATTAATCAAAATTTATAGAAATATTTCATTTTGATTATTTTTTCTTTTAAAATCGGTTGACCACAATTATAAAGAGTGGAATATGCGCTTCTCATTATAAAAAATTAGGGGCACATGCGTGTAGACCTATTTATAAATTTTAAAAAGTTTTAAGTATCAATATGTATGAGATAAAATATTTGTACTAAATGTAATTTGCACATAGAAGCACAAGTTTTTTAAGGCATACCAATTTTTGAGAAAATTTTTAAAAAGTTTAATCATCAAAATGCGTGTAGACCTACTTAATCTTAAATTTAGGTACCAAACTGCAATTTGCATATAGAACCACAAGTTTCTTAAGGCATACAAGTTCTCTAAAGCAGACCAGAAACTTCATAAATCAAACTACATATTAAAGCATACAACATGTTTATTAAAACAGACCACAAGTTCCCGTAAGCATTTTAGCGCCAAGAAAATTGGTCGCAAAAGGTATAAATTTCGTCGGTAAAGGTTTCGGCGATGAAACTAATGTTGCCAAAACTATCTCTCATGCGTCTTGTATTCTGGGTCGCCTAAATTTTTTGCTACAAAAATTAATGACTACTTTGCCAAAGGTGGAGTTCGCCGCCAAAACATTGATGCTTTCGCGACGATGTGCATCGTCGCTGAAGAAGGTATATGCAGCGAACTTTGTCATCGCAATAAATGAACGTTTTGGCGACGAATGTGGTTGTCGCTATACAGTTGATTCCACTAGGGCTGACAAACGGTAATCCGGTAACCAATTTACCGTTTTACCGAACCGGTAACCGTCGATAAACGGTAAACCGATTACCGTCGGTATCCGGTTGCGCGTGGCGACGATCCAATTTACCGAACACAGGCTCGGTATTAACCGTCGGTAAATACCGAATGGGGAACGCTGCGTTTTGGGCCAAAGTGAAACCCTAGACTTCACCCCCTGCGCCTCAGCCCAAAACGCAAAAACGCGCCTCCTTCGTCCTTCCTTTGCTTCGTCAATTCACCCTTCGTCCCTTCCCCTTCGCACGCTGAGTCGCCGACGCAGAAGTGCAGAAGGCCGCCTCCACATCGCCCGCCGCCTCTCCTTCTCCAGTCCGCTTCTCCCGCCGTCTCTCCTTCGCCCGCCGCCTCTCCCGCCGCCTCTCCTTCTCCTCTCTGCTTCTCGTGGCCAGCGAAGAATGAGGCCCTGACTCTCCCTCGCCGACGCAGCTTCAAAGAAGGGGAAGAGGGTGAAGAGCGAGCTTCATCCGCCATTCCTCCTCCGCCGGGCCACCGCTTGCCCACATCCTCTGCGCCAATGCTCCTCCAGTTGTGGGCCGCCACCTGCCCTAGTTCCCTTCCCTTGCCGCCGAGGCAGCAACAGGCCCCAACACAAATCAGCAAGGCAGCAACTCTGCAAGTCAACAACATCCAACAAAATCAAGTTCAAAAGCAAATGAATGTAATTGAATTGTTGAAATATTGAATTTGAGATTGTGTTTTGTGTGAATTGAGAATTTGGTGTGAATTGAGAATTTGATGAAACATGTTCCATATTGATGTATGAAATGAACATGGACATGTTCCGTTATTGTTGTAAACATGTTCCATATTGATGTATTCTGAATTTCTGGTTATTGGTGAAGATTGGGGACAATGGACATGGGCATGGAATAAAATTGAGTTTCTTGTGTATGAAATGAACTAATTATTGCGCGCTTTTTTGCTGGTTTTTTGCACCATCTTAGTGTGTTTCTCTACTGCATTTTGCCATTTTTAGTAGAATTGTTTTTTCTTGTGTTTTAACTTTTGGTGCATGGTGCTATGCATTCTGAGTACAGGTTGGAAGTGAATTGAGATTGTTTTTTTTTTGTAGGACGAAACCTTCTGCTGGCAGCCGTAGAGGAGGTAGTAAGAAGAAAGCTAGTTCTTTACCTCCTCGAAGCTCTTCAAAAAAAGGGAGGGCTTCGACTAGCAAACCTTCTTCCACTACTGCAAATCCTCCTCCACCTGCAGCAGCGGCAAATCCACCTCATGAGGCAAATTCTCCTCCATCTGTTGAGGTACCTGGTGTACAGAAGAAAATGGACAAGGGGAAGGGGAAGAAGTCAAAATCTAAGTGGTGGATTCCTTACACCCGTGTGCTAGTTGATGACTACCCATACGACAAATGCAAACGGTGTGGGCAGCTGATCAAAGCTCATTC